CGAAATTTCTCTTCCGGTTCGCCTGTTAATTCCCAATCATCGCCCCCTTATACCTCTACTGCGGCGCACGGCTCCAATTCATTTAATGGGTTTACTGTCGGTGGTACCGGGGACCTGTTCGGCAATCATAAAGCTCAGAGCTTTGGAGGTTCGACCGACGGGTTGGAGGTTTTTGGTGGATTCGACAAAGGATCGAAGCAGAGTAATGGTGGCTCTTCTTCTTTTGATTACAATTCGATATTTTCTGGGCCCAATCATTCTAACGCTGAATCGTCACTTGAAAATGATGATATATTTTGTGGTGGGTTGAAGAGCTCCAATGCTTCCACTAATGATGACTTGTTTGGGTCGTATGCTTCCAAGCCAAAGCAGGCTGTCCCTATCGATGACTTGTTGGGAAATTTTGGTTCGAAGTCTGGTTCTTCCCTGAATAGGAAAGGATCATCCGAGTTTGATGTCTTGGTACCTGGGTTTAATTCGAGCAGGACATCAGAAAAAGGGTACGTTTCTGTTTTGGGAACGTTTAAAATTAGTGTTCTTTTCTTGGTTGAATTGTTTGCTTGATTACGGAATGAGAGCTCGTGATTTTGAGTTATTGTACGATGTTGAATATTCATCTAGGGATTGGCTGTTCAGATAGGGATCGAGTTAGAGATAAATGTAAAGCTTAATGTGGATGCTCTGTGTAGAAATTAACACATATTGTGTCAATGTTGTTTTGACAAACACTTTTGATTTGTTGGGACTCAATACATATACTATTTCGACGTGCATAGACGTCAACCTTCTTGGTTGATTTCCTGTTAATTTGGTTACTGATTAATGAAGGAATTTCCTTTTTATTTGACTACTGCTACTCTCTAGATCCTACCATGAGTATTGAGACATCCTAAGCTATTAAAGATTCATAAATTTTGGTACTTTTGGCTTTGGATGAAGTGGTGGAAGAACTCTGAAAATAGGACCGTTGGTGGCGTAGATACACAATGAGGGTTATTGGATAACTCTGTACTGATTGGACCACAAATATGCCGCCTTTTGGATACTAATTTGTTCTCTATAGCATTCATTTGTTTCATGCTGGTATAAATCTTTCTAATTCTACTCGACTATTGAAGAGAACTGAAATAAGTGTAAAAAGGTTGTTTTTATGTTGGTTGTTCTCGTTGAAAGAAGAGGGATGGCGCATAGATCTTCACTATCTTGTCGTACAACAATTTATTTCATAGCTTATCAGTAACACAACCACTTCCTAGAACTTCACAATCTTGATATGCATGCGTTTTCTGAGTTAGTAGTAACAGAGATTCTGTATTTGACCAGGGGCACTTGTCTTTGTTTACTTTGTGTAATTTTATTAAACAACCTGAATCTATTTGTTCTTGATTACTTGTGCATGGGGTGACACCGAGGAAATGCCAGAACTACTAAATCAAGCTTCAACTCAGCAGATGATCCCTTTATAGTCTTGGAATCAACTTCTTCAACCACTACAAATTCCTCATTTCTGGATCCACTTGAGGAGTTCAGTAAGTTTGCAAGTTCTGGAGGTGGCAATACAAAACCTACTGGCTCTTCAAATGTTCCCACATCATTGCGGCCCCTACCAAAACCTGGGCAAGTTCTGAAGTCAGTGAAAGGTTATTTCCTTTCCCCTTTGGTCGGAACAAAATTATAAAGGGAGATTTATGGACTCCTTTTGCTCGTCTTCCTCTTGGTGAATTAACATTGGTGATTTTTGCTTCATGATGTAGTTAAAAGTTCACATCCATCTTCAATTGATGAACTTGAGGACTTTGCCACCAGCAGAGTGCGTGCTACACCTAACAGGAAATCAGATGTCAATCAGTCCAAGGAAGGCATAGCGAGAGAAAATGCTAAAACGAGCAAATTTAAAGAAGCAGAAAATAAAATGCCCCAGAAGAGTGCGGATGACCTAGAATCCTTTTTTGGAACGAGTTCTAGATCCAGCAGTGCACCAAAGTCACGGACTGTAACTTTGGTAACATATTTCCGATTCATAAGTTCAGTATCCTGCTGCATCATCTGCATTATAACTCATTTGTCATATATTTCGTACTTGTTAGGATCCTCTATTTGATGCAACCCTGAACAACAGAGGTAAACCTCAAGTTCCAAATGGAAAGGCTTCTGGCGTTTCTTCATCTGGAATGAAGAAGGTTTCTTCCGCAACTAATATGTTCGACGACTTTTCCTCCCTTTTTGGAGGTATGTTTCTTTTGAAACAATCTGGGATTATATTGTACAATTTTTCTTAGTTTGAATTATTTTCCTTACTAATATGTTTATCACTTGATTGTGGAAGACACCTCTTTCTCTGGAGAGTTTGAAGAAGTTCAAGGAGAAACTGAAGAGAGACGAAAAGCAAGGTTTGAACGTCACCAGAGGACACAAGACCGAGTGGTGCGCCTTTCTCAGACTAGCACTTTTTTTTGTTCTCTGCCAAATGTTTTTATTTCTATTTTTTTTATGTTATACTATGAATTAATTGTGGTAATTTTATTTTAGCTTCTCATAAGGTCCCGAACTTCCGTATCGAGTACTTGCTGGATTGTTCTCTATAAACAACATTTTACTGGAGTTGTGTATAATGTTTTGTTTTTATGCTAGATAGTGTCCTCCTTTTAACTGTTATTACATAGAAACATTGAGTTGAGATGCAGATCTCTCTAACTTTGTTACGCATGCAGGCAAAGGCAGTTGCTGATATGAACCAACGTGACTACCATACTCAACGTGAACAAGAAGAGAGGAAGGTAAGTTAATCGTCCTGTTGTCTTTAATATGAAATTAAAATCTCATGTGCTAAGACTTGTGGATGCTATTTCATGGTTTTTCCCTGTCATACATCAATGTTTTGTGTATTCTTGTGGAGATTGTTAGTTATAAATCGACATAATGTCACCTGCACAATGAGAAGCAATCTAGTTGATAGACCATATCCTGAGGTCTTTTAAAGTTCCAGAGAGCAGTGTTATTCCTCTGTAAGCAAACTGGTCACTTTATTCTTGATCACTCACATAAATAATGCAGATGATTGCTGAGAAAATGGATCTTGATATAAAGAGGTGGGCTGCTGGGAAGGAAGGCAATATGCGGGCCCTTTTGTCATCTTTGCAATATGTACGTGTGTCATTTCATAACCTCTTTCTTTTCCATTTTTTACATTACTAAAATAAGGGCTATTTATGGCACATTTTTTGTTATATTGACCTTTGTATGTGTTTCGAGTATATCAGAATGATCTGTTTGATTGGATTGTAAGTTCTAATCTAAGATTACTGCATATCTAACAAAATGGTAGAGGATAGCGATTGTATTAGTGGAGATGAACGTACAACATATGCCCAAGACTTGGAGAGAGGCAAAGATAGTGTCTCAGAATTAATATCTGAAAGAGAAGCATCAACTGCTGTCCATTAGAGAATTAAGTCATGACTGGAAAATATGATTTGTGATTGACTAGTTGTAAAATTAACATGGGTTTGTGTCAATGTGTTTTAACATGTTAAAGATGTGGATCCGCAGGTGCTCTGGAATGAATGTGGTTGGCAGCCTGTCTCTCTGACTGATCTGATTACATCGTCCTCAGTCAAAAAAGTGTATAGGAAAGCAACTTTGTGTGTGCATCCTGATAAGGTTCAACAGAAAGGTGCAACTCTTGAACAGAAATACATCGCTGAGAAGGTCTTTGATATCCTCAAGGTATGTTGTGAACCTTGATGTAGTTGTTTCAAATAGTCATTATCATGCATAATGAATACTTCCAATTATCTTAGTCCAATGCAATTGTGCTTAAGGGGTCGTTTGGGTTCCAGGTCAGATTAAATGATGGACTGTGAAGAATTAAAAGTGACATTTTTGGATTTTAAAACTTTATTGTTCGGATGTTTGATTTTAGCAGTGCGATTGCGACTTAAAAGTAAATTTGCCTTTATACTGTCATCGTTGTTCTATCGGTACACTTCTTCCCTGCAATATGGAATTAACAAAAAAATAGATGACAAAATATACAATAATATGGTAGGGATGGATTTCACAATCATATAAGGTGGGTCTTTTAAACCATGGGTTTCCAACTTCATGTATTGGTGCCCTAAATAGGGGTGGCTCTACGGTCCGGTTAAATTGGCCCGAATTGATCCGGTTTCAGTCCTGTCTTTTCGGGAATGTAAGGACCAAATATTGGATTGGATACAGTTCGGTCTTGACCCGGTCCGGTCCTAATATGGTCTTGATTTTAGATTTAGCTTGTGGAGATTTGAGTTGTCTGAGGCCTGAAAGGATGAGGAGTTGGTTATGTTTTGGGTGTTGAGTTCACTTATCCGGTCTTTATCCGATTTTCGGTCCGGTCCCAAACGGTTTTTTACCTCACATCTAAACCCGAAGATGGCATTGGATTGCTTGCTATCTGGTCCCGGTCCGGGTTATACGGTTCAGTTTCGGGTAAATAAAAAAGCCGGGATCAAATAGCCAGCCCTGCCTTAAAGAAGATTTTCAAAAGAAACCCTTTCTTAAGGTTTTTGTGCTAAATCCATGAGGCAAATCTTGTATCCAAACAACCCCCTAACTGTTCTGGACCCTGATGCAGGTGCAGATTTTGATGTTAGGCCGGGTTTGTTACATTAGGTCTAGGCTCAGTCGATAAAATCTGCTTGTAATGCCTTTAGTAAATAAAAGATACATCCTCTTTTCCGATCATACTACTACTCTATTCACATGAGATAATTGGGGAAACGGGATATCCTACATAATAGCAGATGAAATCTAGGGTTGGAAACGGTGCGGTCTGGTCTGTACGGTCTATGGTCTAGACCTAAAGTTTGAAGTATAGATCACAGACCAGACCACAAACTATACAGTCCGGTCCAGACCATGCCTGTGCGGTCTGGTTCGGTCTGGTCTGGTCCAGATAGACCACACTCAACGAAAAATAAATAATTTGTTTAGTCAACCACAAAAAAAATTGAACCAATAATCAAGAAAAATAATTTTTATTTGCCTTAAAACATTAATCCTAACATGCATGAATAAATTTGAAACCCTAAATCTTAGTACATAACAAAGATATCAAGTAAAAGCATAACAACTTGCACCATAACGTTATAAACATTAACATAATGTCATATGGAAACATGATTATCTTTACTCTATGGTTAAGTGTGGTTGTGAATGAAGGAGAGACGAGATTCACAAAATTAAGGTTGAGACTTGGGTGTCGTTGTGGGAGTTGGGAGAGTGGTCGAATGGGCTGTTAACAAGTATTGACAAGTCGATTGGGTCCACGGTTTGGTCCGGTAAACCGCGGTCTAGACCAGACCAGACCAGACCAAGTGATCAAAACATAAAATAATACAGACCATGGACCAGACCAGACTATACTGAACGGTCTACGATCCGGAGCAAACTGTGCGGTACAGTTTGGACCACGATTTTTGTAATGGTCTGGTCTATTTTCCCAGCCCTAATGAAATCTATCCATAAATCATGTCAAGTTATCCCTTCGGGGACATCCGATAAATCATGTCAAGTTAGCAATGAAAAATATGCCAGCATGTAGCAAAGAACCCTACTACATAGAGCAACACCTCAAACAGATAAGAATGGAACAATGAAGTAAAAAAACAAAAATTGACGTGAAAGGGTGGATAGGTAAAGCTATAAGCCTATGATCACCATCTTATTACTTCTGTTGTAGACCTGTAGGAGCTAGGTGGTAGTCTTAGACCAAGGCTCATAAATTTCTTGCTGCAACTTGGACTCCTGCTGTTTCTTACTAGCTGTTTTGTCTTTTATGGGAACAGGAAGCATGGAACAAGTTCAACAAGGAGGAACTTTCATAATAGTCAGAAATCAACTCGTTAATGAGTTCAACCCTCTACCGAGCTCCAATTTCGAAGTGAAGAAACTGCATGATTCCATAGGATAATGCACAGTTGGCCTCTGTGGCCGAGGTGGAGGCGAAGAAGCCTAGAAGCGCATAGAGAGGAGTCCGGTTTCATGTTATGGAAGTTAATGATGATGGTCTACTTACGAAAGCATCTGAGTTCGGAATGATATCATTTCACGACATGTTACATGCCACGTGCGCGGATGCTTTGCAGACTTTTCAGTCAGGAACCTTGTACGAGGGTTCAAACTTCAAACCATTTGAGGTTGTCTTCTGCCGAATTGACCCATTTGTTGAATGGGGTTTTACGGTTGTTGAATGTGGGTAATAGGGTTCCTGGCATTTGATGTAAGAGTTGTACTTCAATGTTCCTTTCTTCTTTGATGAGTTCTTTGCGGATGAAGTTGAAGACTTTTTGGCATGTCGATAAGAATGCAATAGACGGTGATGATTAAAATGAGTGATGGTGTCGGAAGAAACTTCATTAATTTTGTTTTCCGTTGAAAGTGGCCGGTTAATTTGTTACTATCTACTTGAGAGCATAGCTTAACCCGGACCAAGGAAATGGGTGCCACTGAAAAAGAAGTCTACGAGCAAGTTTCTTATTTGTTTTCATATCTGCAAGAGACTCAGGTTATTATTTCCTTTCTTTTCACTTCTTGATGGTGCATACTATCTATCATATTCTTAAAAGGAGCAACCTATGGTAAGGTACAGAACATAAATATTGAATTGCTATAAGGCACTGAAGAACAAAAGTGATAAATCAAAGATGCACCGTTACAACACAAATCGAAAGCGAACCTCCAGGCCCCTCCTTCAATGGTAAATACAGAACTTTGTGAAGATACAAAGTGGATCTTGTTGGCAGCCAATATATGTTTATTTCTTCTTTTGTGTTGCTGCCAAGGAGTTTACATCTCTTTGTGTGACGATAGATACACAGATTTAGTAAACACCGGTTTCCCTAGGAGCTGGTATTCCCCCGAAGCATATCATCGGTGCAGACAGAGATCTCTCATCTGAGTTCAACATTTAGCTTTGTTTCTACTTGTTCCCTCACTTTTCTCTGTAGTCAGTAAAATATGCAGAGGATGTGTTTGAAGCATTCATCAGTTCTTCTAGCCAAATAAAGAATTCAAAATGCACAAACAAAGTTGGTCAGACTGTGACTCTTACCTGCAACTCATTGATTTCTTCATCTGTAAGTGACCGTTCCATGGACCGGTACGCAATCCTATAGCAATGGCTTGTCATTCCCTTCTTGTTTGTAAAATTGTCTATCAATTGCACCTAACACAATCAACCAAGTGAAAACATATTTAGAGTATAGAGTTGATGATATTGAATTCTATAACTGAAATATTATTTAAGGGTGATAGAGAGGGTTTCAGAAATCAAGGGAAATGGAAAATAAACACAAAGTGTTAATAACATAGATGAACAAGAAGTTAGGTGTCAGTACCTCTTCAGCAAGATCCCCAGCCACTCCTCTGACAACTTCACACAAATTGTTTTCCGTGAACGATTCATTGATCCAAAAGCTCATATCTTTGTAACATGGAGGAAACTGTAAGGCAGATGCTCAAGTTAAGCGTGTTTATATGAAAATCCAACATCCACAGAAGATAAACATGTGAGGAAACTATCACCTTTGAAAATGGCTTGAATTTAATCCCCATTTTTCCCTTAGTGAACTGTGTAGATAGAGCTTAGTCAGTCAGGGGCATTACAACATAGGTAGCACTGATAGAGAGAGATCTATAGCAGTCTAATTGTTAAATCAATCAAAAAGTTTAGAACCGTACCTGAGATGTAAACCGCTCATCGGTCGTCCAGAAAAGCCGAATATCAGGTATGTCAAACAAAACCATAGCCAGTCGTTCCAATCCAAGCCCAAAGGCCCAAGCAACACTATCATGTTGACCATTGTTCCTCAAAATCTCTTGTTCAGTAACCCCACAGCCTAATACTTCCATCCACTTCTCCTGAAAAAAGCATTGCCCAATCTTTAGTTGTGAGAAACAGATGCAGGTCCCATACTGGCAATATCACACTATTTTCTAGCAATATATGCTCTACCACAGAAGATACAAGCTAAGAAGATCTATGGATTCCTTCCTTCTTTTTTCTCCCCTTTAAGATATGGTTAATGGATTCAGAACATTTGAAAGGCTACTAGTGTCTCAAAGTTTTACTTAGTATTGTAGAACGCATCACTTCTGTCCCTCTTAAAAAGGGATTGAATTTATTTTCTTTTCTCCTCATGTAGCTAAGGATAGTATTGAACTGGAATTCTCCTACAATAATAATTCAATCCATGGAGACTTAGAAGAAGAAGAAGAAAAATCAATGTATGGAGAAGCAAGAGTTCAGTGATTACAGTACAGAATTGAGGGCATACCTGAAAGTAAATCTCAAGTTCAAAAGACGGATTCGTGAATGGGAAATATGCATCAATCCAACGCATTTCCACAGCACCTGTAAATTCAAAACAAATTTGCTAGATGAGGATCAACAGATATAGAAACCTGAAAAGCAGGCAAACAACCTTTAAGGACACTCAGTAACTTGTGCTAAAGACTGGGTGCTTCAGAAATCAGCATAAAGCATTTACGGATCACCTCACAAGACATAATACCTATCATAGTGAACCAGTAAAATCTTACAGTCAATAAAATGAAAGCAAAGCAGATTTTGAAGGCCGCTTAGCAATTGCCAAACCTGTACAGTAAGTTACATAAAAACTGAAGGAGGTTGTTGGTTATATGATAGAAACGTATTATTAAAAAAAACGTTCGGAACGTAAAAATTATTAGAAAGTAGAAAACACAACACCACTGTATATTGGAGAAGCAAGTTCAGACATTACAAATCAAAGGACTGACACTAATTTAGTTTCTCATTGTTAAATTGACAAAAATTCTCAGTACCAAGTTAGCATGAAGTTAACCACAGATATGCAGAAAATCCAAAACAGTGAATGCCATTGGATCTGAGCATAGCCCTATATAGTCCTAGCACTGATATCTGGAACCTAACAATCAAGAAAACAGGGTCACCATATTTATCAATTAAATGAACTCAGCTTATTGACGATATAACAGCTGTCAAGGCCAATGCAGTCAAAATCGCGCTTTAGAACTTAAAAACTTACGATTTTACGCTTTTAGGTCACCAAAATGCTTTCGTTTCCATCTAAAAACTTAAGTGTATAAAATCAGACTAAATTACGCTTTAAAGCTTTAAAACTTATGGTTTTACGCTTCTAGTTCACCAAAACACTTTACGTTTTTACGCTTTTAGTTCACTAAATGAGTATTCTTTTCATGAAATTAATTAAAAAAGTATATTTTAAAAGTAAATCACCAACAATATGATACATTTGAGATTAGAATATACATATCAGGTACTTGGATGCATTCTCAACTTCAATAGCGTAATCTAATTCACCTGCTAGACTTTTCCCAAATTCATTAGCATAGAAGGAAAAGTGGCTTATTGTTAAAATTTATGTTTACGAACTTATTATTAAGATGCTATAAGTTGCTCTACTTTAAGCATGAATTGCATGTATTTATTAACTTATCTAAATTATATGCATTCATATTTTATATAGTATATGTCCTATTTAATAGATTTTTAATTATTTTTCAGTATGCTTCAAAAACTTACGCTTTGATACTACGCTTTACGCTTTTACCCCTTTTTCCGCTTCTAGGTATAATCGCGCTTTTGACTGCATTGGTCAAGGCAAATAACTAAACAATCCTCTAGTATCGATGAAAGCAGCAATTGGCTTTGTTTATACTATTATCCATTCCAGTTATTCACGACAAAGAAGATGACAAATAGTGTTACCAAAAATGTGTCTAGCTAGCCCCTCAAGGCATTTCTTCAAATCCTCGGCAGCATAAGATGTGCCATCCAACGCCGAGGCTTCCCACTCTTTGGGTGAGAACACACGAAACCCTTCCATCTGCATTTTAACATACGAATACATGAATGAATGCTTCAACAACCTAAAAACAAAGGAAGAAAAATAGTTAGGAGATTGCAGAAAATGGGAGCCCAGAAGACCTGATGAAAAACAGGATAATGAGTTGAATCAATAGAATCTCTACGGTAAACATCTCCAGTTACAAGGAAATGCGTGTGTCCATCCCTCAACAACTCTGCTTGATGCGCACTGGTGTGGCACCTCAAAACAGTACCCGAATCAACATAGTAAGTATCATTATAGCTCCTCGATATGTGATCAGCAGGAACCAGGACGTCATCGAAATTCTGCGAGAAAAAGAAAAAAAGTTCATGCTATTCAAGTACAAGCTAACTCAATTTTGTAATGGGAATTGCAGCACAAAAACTACAAACTAAAACCTGTTTGACAGATACGAGAGGGCAGAGATCATCAAACTTATCAAACTTGGTGGAGTAACTGGCGTCGAAGTATTCATATATCGCGTTCTTCAATATGCCAATCGGATGCTGGTTCCTCTTATGGAGTTGCATACCAAGTTTCGAGAAAATCGAATCGGGCACATTGTTTGTTGGATCATCCCTCACCACGTCTACAAAGGGCCAGGACATTTAACAAATTAAACAAGCCCAAAACATCAGAATTCAAAATAACCACTTCAACAGCTAAAAGAGAAGAACTTTAAGCATACCATCTCTAGCAATCTTGACCCCACCCAGTTCGAGTGCTGACAAGACAGAAAGTCTCCCATTCTTTTTGCGAGTGCAAGTAGCAGCAGCAGTGGAGAAGGGCGTAGAGAAGGTGAAGTGATTGAAGCGGGCATTGGTTCGGTGGAGAAAGGAGGAGGATGCTGCTCTGGTGAAGAAAGTGAATTGGGCAATTGACAATGCCATTGGTGTCGCTTACTACGCTACAATTGACCAATAGAAGAAGCAGAAAGCCAGGGGAAACAACTCTGCCAGATCGATACAAGAACACGTAGCAATCATAAATGCGAGTACGAAACGATAAAGTGTCATCAATAGAAAAAGAACCAAGCTTGACCTGTGCGTTCCTCTCCTCGAATTGGAGGGTTGTGCCGTTCTCGCCCGCTACTGGTAGTCACTGGAACGTGATGAAAAACGAAGAAGTTGTTGCAACTGCGGCGGCCACGGCGTTGTCGCCGGGCTGGAGAAATGGCCGGAGGGAAGAGGGTTATGCTGCAACCAACCAGTCAGTCAACCAGAGGCGAGTCTGGGGACCAGAAGTGTGCAGAGGAGGACGAAGGAGCGGGCGATGGTCGGATTAGGAAATTTTCTAAAACAACCCCCTTCAGTTTCGAAGGGCCGGCGTGAAATTAAAATAAGGTGGTTCGACCCATGAACTTGCCCAATCCGGCCCGATCTAAAAAAATTTCTGGACCCAATCAAGTTGATCGGTTGAGTAATTCGAGACCAAGTTTTTTTTTATATCATAGATATTTTTCTCATAAACTTGATAAGAGCGAGAGATGCAACAACAATTACGACACTGACTCTCGCAGCTGTTAAGATTAGGATAGTGTATAGACACGTTAAATACAACACCAAATTGCGACCAAGTGCAATCGCATAATGGAAATGCAGAATAGTGGCAAGTTCAATTTATCAACTCGGGGTCTAGATCTACTGCATACTCCGTGATTACATGTTATCTAGCGGGACTAAGTGTGGTGAGAGTGATTTCAAACAAAAGCAGTAAGAAAGCAAGAAATGGTTCAAAGTTCTTAAGCAAGGGAAGAGTCACTCGGGAATGAGTCCCCCTAACTCCTTAGTTAGGTCAAAGTTGTAATTTCCTTTTGTTGATTTACTGTTTATTAAACTGCGGAAGATCCGACAGTATTTTGGAATCTCTTAACCTGACCAAGCCCTCTCAGACAGACTACCCTGCAGACGTCTAGTCTTCACCCGGATAGAATGCTGAGGCAATTAACACAGAACTCCACTACTGGAATTGGATTCCAGTACAAAGCAGTGAATCGACTAACTGTCGTATAATTGATTCACTACTACCGATTGAAGAAGCTCTAACAACCTAATCAGATTCTATCTATCTCAAGTTGCAGCAGAAATCAAGAAAAGTTGATCAACCTTCAATTGACTCAATGAATCACGCATCAATCGAATATAATCAAACAGTATATCAATCCAAAAGTTATTACAATCAATATTGCTAACACATGGAACTAGGGTTCTTCATACCCAAGTGAGAGAGAGAGAGAGAGAGAGAGAGAGAGAGAGGAAAACAGAATACAAAGCAGTCATACTCATAATGACGGGAAGAATCTGGTTTAGGATGATAATCTTCACTCTAGGGATGAAATCCAAGCTTGATTGATGAAATCCAGCTCCAAAATCACCTCTAGGGTTTGTTCTTTGCGCCTTCTCTCTCTAGGACTCTGTTTTTGCTCTGGAAATTCGTCTCCCTCTTCAAAGACCCGAAATTGGGTTAAAACCCAGAATTCCACGACCACACGGCCGTGTGGAATCCCCAGTTGCCCGTGTGAAATCCCAAAGCGCGACGTTTTGATTAAGTGACACAATGTACGCTACAAGGCCGTGTAGAAATATGGTCTGCCCGTGTGAACTCTCTGGAAATCCCACACGGCCAAAAAGGGCCCTCACACGGCCAGTGTCCAGTGTGGCTTTGCTCGCGCAAAGGGGTGCCACACGGCCAAGTTACACGGCCGTGTGGAAATTTGGTTTGGTTGTGGTTTCCTCAGCTTCTCGCCAAACCTCCCAACTTCGCCCAATCGACCCCGAACTCGTGCCCAAACCTTCATTCACATACTAGGACCTGAAATATCACAAACAAGAACAACCTAGCGTGAAATCGGTTTAAAACACCAGAAATGAGAGTCAAACGGTATAAGAATGGTGGACAAAAACATGTGTATATATCAAGTCATCACGTATACTTGTCTTTAGGGGTGTTCAAATGGTTACCATGGTAATTACAAAACCAAATAAGCCTAAATTCTATTAATCATGGAAGACAATATCATAACCAAACCGTCCAAACTAATACGATAACCAAATTAACCAAACTAAAGTTTAATCGGTTTAGTTAATTGGATAACCAAAATAGCGAATATCCCATCACATTATCATTATGTCAGAAAAATTTCCGGTTTTGTGCGTCAATTTGCAATTTATATAATGAATAAAACATAACAATCAACCCAAAATTATAGTGAATTCTTAACATATATACATGTAACTACTAACTAATACAGTTATCTTACATTCTACTCTTGAGTGGTTATGCAAAGTATTAAGAATGTCTATATAATATATAAGATACATAGCTAATTACTTAACTAGTTAATTTGGTTTGATCGGTTAGGAGTGTCTGAAACCAAACCAAATCACATAAACCAAACAAGCTAAAAAAATTAATCAAACCAAACCAATTGTCCAAATTAACCAAATCAAATTATCCAAATACCACAGGTTAAAACGATAACCACACTGTTTGAACACCCCTGCTTGTCTTGTCGCAAAATGGATAGCGCGATTGGCGTCTCAAGGTGTGTACACAATCTGCACTGGGATAACTGAATTAATAAGGTGTGTATTTCACGTAACATTCGACCAGTGCTAGTAAATGCTTCATAGTAAATGTTAGTAATTCGACCGGTGCAGGGTTTGTAATGCCCGACACAAACATTTTATGCAAAAGTCGACAAGTAGCCATCAAACTTGACTATATCCACAACGCCGCTAGTAGGAGCCCGTGTTGCACCATCAATAGCTACGTGAAACTCTTGGTGAATTGTAGGAGAATGATGATGGTGGAGCCGGAGTGGGAATGCAGGTTGTTGAAGAGAGGAGAGTCATGGCAAGAAGGTGATCAACGCGATGGAAGAGGAACTGAAGTTGGAGAATCGGGAGTGTAAATTGTGCGCGAGGTGGAGGACTACATTGTTTCGAGTTTCGACCCTACCAGAATCACCAACAGAGGATGACCCTATTAGTGACAGTGTCGAGTCCGAGTGGAGCAAACAATGCCAAATGAATGAAATGTGAAAGTTAGAGGAAAATATGTCAGACAATTAGAGACCAAGTAGGTAGTGTAAGGAAACGACAACCCAACAATGGAGGAAAATGTGTTCTAGTGATTTCATTTTATTCAAACCAAAAATTTGCATGTGTTTTTCACGATGAGTCCATATTTTTGGATATCCTCACGCCCTTGCTCTTAGTGGAAGTGGTAGACCATTTTCTTGAAAAGTGGTCGACCACTTAATGGAAAAGGTCGACCACTTGAAGGTAAGTGTATCATCAGGTCGAGCACTTGGTGGAAGTGGTAGACCATTTTCTTGGAAAGTGGTCGACCGTTTTCTCCAAGTTATAGTGACTTGCAAGTCACCATAAGCATACCCCCTCTTTTAACACTTTAGGAAAAAAAATCCACAAGAGCAAGATGATATGAGATCTATGTATTTTGAAGATGACACAATTGTATAACACTTATACTCTACTTTTTGAGCATCTTCATAACAATAATAATTGTAAAAAAAATTCATAACAACAATAACAACAAAGTTGGTCCATCGCAAGACAACTATATGATTAAAATAAACAAACTTAGAATTTGAAGGAAAGATGAAAGTCACTATAGAATAAGTCAAATATAAGAAATAAATATGTAGAACATTTTCATATCTACGAGAGAACTATAACTAAAGAAACTTGTCATCTATGCTCTAGTCTTTGTACTAATCTTAACTCTCCGACTACAAACATATCTATAATTATTGGACTCCAATTATAGATGATGAAATCACAAACAATGATTATTGACTGATTGTTGAAAGCGGTGGATCGCTTGGAGGAAGTGGTAGACTGTTTTCTTGTAAAGTGGTCGGTCGTTTGTTGAACATTGCATGATAAAAAATAGTACAACTAGTCGATCATTCTAGTAAATAGGTAAACCATTTTGTTCAAAGAGGTCGAGCTTTTTGTGCAAGTCCCCGTAGCAAACATGTTTCTTTTGTCTTGGTCTATAATCTCCAAGAATTTGGTTGTCCACAAGTGATAGGATGTTGCATTACTACAAAACAATTTTGTATTGTAGGTCACCTATTGTCCATTATTTTCTTATTGGGTGACCATTCGCGAAAGCGAAGATTGTTCGCCGGAAGAAGTATGTATATCATCAGGTCGACCACTTGGCGGAAGTGGTAGACCATTTTCTTGGAAAGTGGTCGACCACTTAGCAGAGAAGGTCGACAATTTTCTCCAAATTACGGTGATTTGTAAGTCACCATAGGCATACTCATATTATTCATTTGAATTTATAATTAATAAGTTAAATAATTTTAAAAACTCATAATCTCATTGGAACACTGCACTCTTTACTCTACTCATTTTCTTTGTTAGACACAAGAAATAAAAAAGTAGCTCACTCCACTATCAACTAAAACCCGCCAACCACCCTTGCCTCCATTGTTTCCAATTTTAACTCTTTCGTCTCTGTTTCTCATTAGAGGAAGCCCACTGTCGCATTATAGTTGTCTGCGAATTCCTCCAAGTTCCCACTCCTTCAAACTTCTAATTGCAAGTTTTCCCTAGGATCTATTCAATGTAAGTACGTAATTAGGAGATAGAAACCCTTTTTCTTTTTTCCAAAGAAGGAGATTGATTCACAGGGGAGGGGGAAATGATATGATGGGGATAGCAACATGAGAGTTGAAATCAATCGATTGAAATCCTTAATCTTGGCTGAGTATTCATCAGCTCATCACATTCATTGTTTTGCTCATCAACTTCAGTTCACATTAGTTGATGTTGCAAGAATCAATATGGTCATTAGTCGCTCCTTTGAGCATTTTACTTTATTACTCACTGTGATTGGAGGATAACCTAAATGGTTCGACTCTCTTCGAAACAAGCACGCTGCAAGGCTTATTGAGGCTTTATATATTGTCGATCTAGAGAGTGGACAAGGTTTGTATCAACATATAGGGTTGAAAAGGCCTACTGATACAAGTTGGGTCTCATCTTGGGGACCTTTACAAATTTGATGGACATGTTCAGTTATGTGGTTGATGTCTCGAATGAGATGTAGTGTGGTTTTCCACTGGATATACAAGGTAAAAGCCATCAGTACTCTGCTTCACATTCAAACTTTTGAGTTTTTCTTTTTACATGAATTAGATTATTGGAGTGGTTGTAATTACAAATGAGTTGTCTATGGCATTACAAAGGAAATGTCAATACCTTGTTAACATTGTGGAGTTAATTAATTTCTCCAAAAAGACCCTCTTTTTCCTTCATCATCTATTCATGTAGAATTTGAAACTCTTTCTTTAATTGGAAGTTTTCCTTCGTTGTTTCATTTAAAGTTGTGGACTGAGCTAGCATAAGCTGCTCCAAACTCTTTCTTTGCTCAGTGAGGTTCCCAAATACTTCTCGGTTCAACTTCTTTAGTGCTTTTTAACCTCATTCTATTTGCATTGAACTATAAAAAGGGGTTCCACTACATTGA